CTTTCTTGGGCAATTGCATTTCAGCTATTGGAAAGCTTTAGGCAGGGCCTGTCTTCCGCTTAATCAGATTTGAACAGCGAGTTTCCTTACGGGTCTAGAAAGCATTTGGCTAGGTTGTCCTCCATTTCTTATTGCTACACTCAAAACAAATGGGTTTTTTTTCCTGAGGAAGAAACCCTGTTTAAATTTGAATTTTGCTTGAAATGAAATTTTGGTGGTAACTCTAAGATCTCCAGAACTAATTAAAAGACAACTTTTTAGAAACACTGCAGTATTTTCTTTACTAAACACCCACCCACCCAAAACTTTGAAGGAATATGTCAAGTTAGCATAAAATCATTCTGATGCACTATCCCAAGAGAGCAATACAAACCAGAGCCTACAGAAACCGAGGCACCTTCACTATTTTAAAATGTTGTGTTTATTTGAAAACTTTTTTTTACCTCTTTTTAAAACTGATTTTTATTACATTGCAATTTTGGGAAATTACAAATAAAATGTAGTAGCGGCTAAGAAACTGAGTATAGGCGTGTGCCCAAGCAACACCTAGTTTTTCAGTAAACTGGGGATCATGGCGAGGAGGAGAGAATACGGGGCAGCAATTCTGCTTCCTCAGCTACCATTACTAGTGGGGAAGTGGGTGTGAGGGGAGACAAGATACTACCATCCATGAAAATAATATTACTGACTGATAAACTATCTGCGTTAAAAAGTCAGATATTGTCTATATTACAGATGGAATAATGTAGGGAAAAGATCAATATTGAAAAAGTCTCAGCCACCACAAACATGATTCAGGCAATGTGGTTATGCTGAAGATAGAGGCAAAGATCCTCCAAAAGCAAAGCACCAATGTTTTGCACTCTTCTTTCTTTCTTTTTGTGATAGTGGCTCTGTGCAGCAATGCCAATGACATTGATTCTGATCTGCAGTTAGGGTGGGGGATCAGCACTATTCCCATGTGGTTTCTGGGTGTCAGGTATGCCGAAAAAACATACCTGAGAAGCAGCAAGAGAAAAACAATACGACTATGAAATAACTATCCCAAATTCCCTTTGAATGTTGATGATGTTAAATCAAACTGAAAGTATTCCCAAAAGCTGCCTCCATCATCTTACCATTGGAAGGTTTAAAAAAGAAAGAAAGAAAGAAAGAAAGAAAGAAAGAAAGAAAGAAAGAAAGAAAACATATGGTCTCCACAAATATTTGACATGTTTTATGAACAGATGTCCTCCCTATTATGCTCCATTTTTATTGGCAATCATGTTTATGGGCAACCATTATAAAAAGATATTTTTCACAACTCTGCCTATTGTGCCTTAATTATTCTGAAAGAATGAAATTAGCCTATTCTGTCTCTAATACAAATGATTAGTAACATTAATTTGCTTGTTTCCAGTATAGTTGAGACGGGCTGATCCAAGAAAAAGTATTATCTTAGCTGCACTATGTCTCATTTCATAAAACACACACACACACACACACAGAGAGAGAGAGAGAGAGAGAGAGAGAGAGCGCATGCTAGCAAAAATGGATTAATATGTTATCTTCACTGCTTAAGCCAGGGTGGGGGACTTGTGATCCTGCACATGTTCTTGGACTCCAATTCCCATCAGCCCAAGCCAGCATGGCCAATGGCCAGAGATCATTAGAACTGTAGTCTAGCAACATTTGTAGGGCCGCAGGTTCCTCTCCCCTGTCTTAAGCATTGAACTATTCACATAAGCACTCCATTGAACATCTAAAATGTTAAGGTACAATTAACATAACAACAACAACAACAACAACAACAACAACAACAACAACAACAACAACACAGGCCCTACACAGGAGCATGTGCTCTAAGTAAGGATGTGACAGAAGCCCATGCAGAAGCCCTACCCCCAATATCCTCAGGTGCTTGTGCTCCTTCACATGTTTAGAAGAATTGAATTAATAGGACTTACTTCTGAGTAGACATGGTTAGGACTTGGTCATGATTTTAGGTCCCACTGATTCATGTAAGAATCACAGGAATTAATGAAGCTTAGGCCATTACTAATTGTTCAATTGATTTCAATGGAAGGAACCTAGCTTAGTTTGGATCCACCTCTGGGTTTTGTCTGTATACATCAGGCTTCCTCAGCCTCGGCCCTCCAGATGTTTTGAGACTACAATTCCCAGCATCCCTGACCACTGGTCCTGCTAGCTAGGGATCATGGGAGTTGTAGGCCAAAAACATCTGGAGGGCCGAGGTTGAGGAAGCCTGGTATACATAGTAAACCTGTTCAATGCATAAAGCTTGGAGCTTCAATCAGACACACAGACAATATAAAAATCAACTGCATGCTTATTCAAACACTTCCATACTATTAGAAAGCAATCATAAAAATAGTGCGATAATTTCTTCAGAAGAAGCAAATGGCAAATTGTACTGAAAACTGTAATGAAACTTTGAAAAATAGAGCAATAAAACAGTGAATGCACTGTTTCATCATTTTGAAAAGGTGGGTGGGGGAGAGTACAAAAAATAGTGTCTCCGTTACAACTGAAGTCTCATTTAAAAACATTTCCTTTTCCATATTTATGAGTCGATTTATTATCACCCAATTGACCTGTTAGCAATTTAATTATGTATGAAGTACTTCATAATAAGTAACTATTGAGGGTTTTAATAGACATATTAAGTTACTGCATTAATAATATGATGTCAAAAAATCAGGGCCTTCATACTGGGAGCAGGAGAACATTTAAAATCAGCATTTCAATTTGGAAACTGCTTCATTAGTATGCAATATTCCTTATTGTTACATAACTAAAAAGCCCTACCCTGATGTGTGCCTTTGTGCTACAGATCCATCAGTATTCTTACTCTGGCCCATTGCTCCCTAGAATACTAATGATGTACCTCTAGATAAATATACATACATTTCCCCACTCACTGGATCATAGTTTTAGACAACTGTTTACCAAGCTTACTAGTAGACTTTCTGTGATAAGCATACAACCACATGAAAAGATGATAGGATTCAGCCCTGTACTGATAGGGTTATAGTATTTCTCACAATGGAAGTAGCAAAATTCACTTGTGAGTGGCCACTACAAATAAATGGTTCCTCACATTGTTGCACGAATATTTTTCATATTTCTATTAGATGCATTTAGGTAAAGAAGCCTTTCCTCTGTCACCCAACTACCAATTTTAATAATTTCTCAAATATGAATATTTACACTTTTACCTACCAAACATAAAAATTATCATTTTCACCAAATGAAAAATAACTTTGTTTGCTACTTTGTTTTTGTGGGGGTGGGCTGGGCCAGGTCACAAGCAAGGAGTGGGAGCCTACACTTTACTGCAGCCCAGAGGAATGAGGTTAAATTGTAAAATATAAATATGTATCTATCGTATGGATCTTCCGTATCTTTCTGGAGCTAATCAGAAGCAGTGTATAAGAAGAGCAAGCAACATTTTTAACAGAGTTGTTTGCCCTGGTCCTCATTTAGAACACAGAAAGTGTGATTGTGCAGTTAAACTACGACTTGAGTTTGAGAGATGAAGCTAAATCAAACGTATCAATCTTACCAAGTTTCAAACAGACAGTGTATGTATTTCTAAATGCACCCTTAGCCTAGAATATTCATTTATAATGCATATTGGAACACTTCTTCAGCTGAGAACTGTACCACAAAATTCAAAGAAGTGTGAAAGTCAAAGGATAATTATGTTCCAACCTGTGTATTAGTTCAGGAGGTGCAAATTGAGTCAGTACACTTTAAAATGGTGACCAAATGAAATTCTCTTCCATCATGCAGTGTATGTTTTGCTTCGATATGCTTGCCTGAGGCCTAGTGTGCCAAGAACATCTACATCGGTTAATTAAAGGAGATTTCATAGAGAGGAACTTTCTGTGAGAAGACGATATTTAATTATTTAATGGAATTTGTCCAATGCTCAATGATTAAAAAAACCCTCTAAGCAGTTTACATAACACAGCTCTGAGCACAATAGTAATTTTTATCTTAATTAAATTACTTGAGCTGTTTATGTAAAATTGTTATAAACAGGTATACAAGTGATGTTTGTAGTGCAAATATGTAAGCCTACACACATACTACATAATGGAGGTGACTTACAATAAAGTCTGACAAAATTTCCAAGGCTAGAATTTCCAGTGTCAAGGCTCAGACCCACGACACAAAGGAAGACCCTATATTATATTAATAGTGTTTCTTCTCACTAATTAACAGCCAAATGGGTTGTCTTCATATCCGTTTTAGAGAAGAGGACAATATTTGAATGTGAAATGTTATTTCCAAGCTTTATGCTGTGTTTCCATGACTGATAATTACTACACATTCGCTATTATTAACAAACAATTGGTAGACTTCAGGGTAAGAGCAAAAATCACTATTTGGGGGCTCACTTTGTACTTAAACAATCACCTCAAAAGTCAGAAGCAAAAAAGAGAAAGCTAAAAACATACACAAAAATAATTCTGATTGAAACACAGAAGATATAAAAAGTTCAAACTTTAGCGCTCCTCCTCAAAAAAACCTTTCATCCAAACATCCAAAAAAGTGAAATTAGTATAAAAAGAATAATGAATGATTCATGAATCATTGTCTGTGAATAACTTAAACCAGCTCCTTACATCCAAATTTAGGACATAATTTCAAAAATGCTGATGAACTGCAACTTCTATTGTAAGCAATAAGAACTGCAAATCTAAGCACCTTTGAAGAAAAACAGCTACTTTATCATGGTGCTTAACAAAGAACACACACCTTTAAAAGTTTGCTGTAAATCCAGACTTGTTTGCTTAAATCATTTTGAATCTTAAGGAATTAATTATACTAGGTGAGTAAAAAGCAAACTTAACTCTGAAGTCTCAGTAAACTAAATCCAAACCTGTTTGTGTGGTGCAACTATAAAAATGAAAATGGATAAACCTTTTCCCTAACACCTGCATGGAGAAAATTTACCATACACTTACAAACAGAACCTGATGCACACTAACCTTCAGGATCAAGGAGTTTTTCGATTCCTAGGTGGCGTTTGGCTACGTTGAATGCATGGTCTAATCGTTGTACAGCTGACTGTTGGCGAACCACACTATCCCAGTCAAATAGATCTGGTCTGAAAAGAAAAGGGAAATCTTGTAAAGTTACCTATGCAATTCTATGTGCAATTCTAGATTTGGAGGGCTAGTCAACTTCATCACAGGGTTGGAGAGACCCTTAGTTTTGTTTTTAGGTTTTTTTAAAAAATCATTTTCTACCTCATACAAAATTAAAACATTCAAACAAGAAATTCAGCTGTATCTGTGAAATGCTGCAAGCCAGTCTTAAATGTTTTATAGGCAGGGATCAAATTACAGCTTAGATAAACAGTCTGGGACCCTATACTATTAGTTACACTGTTTGCAGTATAAATAATTCTATTAATTTTAGACACCCTAGTTTTAGCTAAGTTACCCATTAGGACAGGTAAATTTGTTTTCAAGATTACAGAAGACGGAAATCTAATCCTACTCAATTAAATATGTGTTCGATTCAGGTGTGGTGCCTGAGCCTTAGGTTCAACAGATTTCTACCTGCTTCCAACAGATATAGGCACACAAGAGCAGCACAATGAGACAGGGCATGGGAGGTCTAGTTCAAAACAGCTAGAGGACACGTGTTGGAAAGGGTGCTCTGACTCAACCCAAGCAGCTAAGAACTGCATAACAATCCAGTGAGACAAGTTAATCTGAAAGATAGTGACTCATTCCACACTTTTTGTTTCACGGCTAAGCAGAGAGTTGAGAAAGGTCATCTGGTCAACTTTGCATTTTCTTTACAAATACAAAATACAGGAAATATTTTAAATAAATAACATCATTAATAAAATGCTGAAAGTCAACATCTAATTATCTTTCAAAAAATATTGGCTTCCTAAAAATGAAGTGTATTCAATTAAATAAGTGAATATTCTCGTTGAATGGAACCATTGCATATTCAAGCAAGTATTTTCACAGGCAGCATTACTGGAAGAAACAATTAATCTTTTTATTGCTACACCTTGTTAGGGAATGGTTTTCTCCGGAGACTACCACTAATGGAATTTAATGCAAACAGACCTTTAAACAGAGATGTATTGACTATACGTTATGTGGACTTGTATAAAGGGGCCGTGTTAACACATTGCACAAGATATTGGAGAAATGCAATCTCCTGATTCAAATCTAATTTTATGCCTGATACCTAAAATTTCATTCACTAGCATGAAGACTGCAATGTGAAGTTCTTCCTTTCATAATTATTAAAAGCTTTTGCTATTACAACAGTTTCTTATCTTTTGCAAAAGCATTTCTTTAATTGTTGGGGGGGGAGGGGAATGTCCCATGATCAAAAGCAGAGTAGTTCCAGATGTGAAATATAAGTAAATATGAATGGTAACATGCACAGGAGAAAACATAATAATCCACAAAGAACATATTAAAATCTCAAAAAACAAACAAACAAAACCCGCTTTTCCTGGATTTATTATAGTAGTGCTTCTAAAACAGTGCACCAAGACCCACCAGTCAGGATTGAGCCATTTTTCAGTGGGCCTCAGTGCCATAGTCTGCTCAGTGCTTCCCCACTTGCCAGTCCCTGCCACACCATAGCCTTTTGATTGACCCAAGGACAGCAGCAGGGAAGCAGTATATGACTATTTTAATACCGTATTTTTCGCCCCATAGGGCGCACCGCCCCATAGAACGCACCTAGGTTTTTTTAGGGGAAATAAAGGGGGGGAATTCTTCCCCCCCCCAGGCGCGGGGCTGGGGCAGGGGAAGCCTGAGCTTCTTCCGACCCCAGCCCCCAGAACAGGCAGCTCTCCGCAAGCCGTGGGTGCCCAGCGCGAAGTCGCGCCGGGCTCCCACGGCTTGCGGAGAGCTGCGCAAGCTCAAAGCCTGGGGTGCGCTGAGCTCAGCTCGCCCCAGGCTTGCAGAGAGCTGTGCGAAGCTCGAAGCCTGAGGCATGCTGAGCTCAGCTCGCCCCAGGCTTCGGGATACAGAGGAAGACCCTTCTGTTCCTCCTCCAGCTTCGCAGGACAAGCGCGTGGCTGAAGGGTCGCTGCGCAGTTCTCCCTCTCTGCGCAGCGCCCTTCAAGCGAAACTGGAGAAGGACAGGCTTCACAGGACAGGCGCCTCACTGGGAAGCTGGAGGAGGAACAGAAGGAGACCCTTCTGTTCCTCCTCCAGCTTCGCAGGACAGGCGCGTGGCTGAAGGAGGACAGGCGGGCGCAGTTCTCCCACCTCCCGCAGAAACCGCACACTCTTTAAAAGGGCTGCACGGCTTCTACTGGCTTTTCTACGAGGTGGGGGGATTACCCCACCTCCTGCAGAAGCCATGCACTCTTTAAAAGGGCTGTGTGGCTTCTACTGGCTTTTCTAGGAGGTGGGGGAATCCCCTACCTCCCGCAGAAGCCTGCAGAAGCCGTGCGCTCTTTAAAGGGGCTGCACGGCTTCTACTGGCTTTTCTAGGAGGTAGGGGATTCCCCCACCTCCCGCAGAAGCCCTGTGCTCTTTAAAGGGTGCGTGGCTCCTGTGGGCTTTTCTACGAGGTGGGAGAAGGGACTGATGCGGCCAGTCAGTCCCTTCTCCCTCCTGGGGAAAAGCCCGCAAGCGCCGCACGGAGCTTGTGTGCGGCTCTTGGGGGCTTTTCCCACCTGCCTCCCCCTTGCATTCACCTCATAGGATGCGCACACATTTCCCCTTCATTTTTGGAGGGGAAAAATTGCGTCCTATAGGGCAAAAAATACTTAAAACTTAAACTTAAAATAAGTATTATTAGACTTTTGGGTCAGCTCACCACATCAGATGTCGAAGAAATAAACAAGTTTATGATATTTAGAAGACATATGAAGGCAGCCCTGTTTAGCAAAGTTTTTAACGACTGATGTTTCAATGTATTTTTAATCTTCTGTTGTATGCCACCCAGAGTGGCTGGGGAAACCCAGCCAGATGGGTGGGGTAGAAATAATAAATTGTTGTTGTTGTTGTTGTTATATAACTGAAGACAAAGCATTTAAGTGCTCCAGTAAACAATACACCACAAAGATATACTGTAGTCTATTCCACATATAATGATAAACTGTGGTTTAACCGTATGGGAATGAGCAGCAGAATGAAATTCAAGTTTTCATGGGTTAAGGTTACTGCAGCCAGGAGGAGAATCAGAAGCATTCACTTCCTGTTTTAAACTAACCAGAGTTTATCACTTTGTCTAAACACGGAGAACCTGGGTTAGTTTAGGCTCTGGTTTGTTAACAAATCAGGATCATAAACCACAATATTGATTTGTTTCAAGAAGCCAAATTTCCACAAACCAGGGCTACCATAACTACTTCCTGGAAGTGGTTCTCGAGGAAGGAATGGAATCAACGAAGTACAGTGCCTCAACTGTAACTTTCCCAAGACACTCCAGAAGGACTCTGTGGTCAAGCAGAGAAAGGTGAACCACACTCCCTCAATTTCTCTCCGAAGAAATGTCATCAACCACAGCAACAAAGTTAGTTTAATGCCAAGGCCGGGCCTGGAGCAAGACTGGAATGGATCCAAGTAATTAATAATCACTAGACGTCTTGTCTATGGTTTTTAGCTGTCAACTGAAGACCTTTTTTGTTCACCCAGGCTTTTGAATTGTGTTTCAAATTGTGCTTTAAACTTCTTATTGTGTGTCTGCTCCAAGAAAAGGCGCATGTTTTAACAGGTTTGTCCTGAGCGGGTCCCAGTAACTGTGGGAGGAGATGGGAGGAGCAAAGCAAAATAGGCAGAAAGAAATAGGCTGATAAGTTAAGTGGATGTGATGAATAAAGATTTCTGTATGAATCACTAAATATATATTTCTTATGGATAACAGGGTAGATGCAAAAAATATTGCAGGGGAATTTCACTAAGTTCTGTTTGAGAACCAATGGTCAAACAAATTGAGAAGTTGTCTTTATTGCTCATAATACATTACAAGTAAGTTGATGGAGGGTGGATTTTGAAAAACACTTGTATGGAAGACATACATATGTGAAATGTATTCCAGAACTCAGGCAGCACCAGACTTTTAAATATGGGACTGTTAATATGGGACTTTGCATTAATTTGAATTTATAGCTGAAAAGCATTATTAGCACAGCACTAAGATTTACTATGCCAGCAAATAGACTCTTAAGAGGGTATGTACCTAGTGCTAAATAAATAGAATCACAAATCACCATGTTATGACAGAACAGTAAAACAAGCACACACAAAACAAAACTGGCACATATTTTTAATTACTGGGGGACAACTCTCATACTCAACATCATCCCCAAGGCCAATAACTATTGAGTACCATTTCCAGAGACACCTAATGAAAAGATGTAGAAGACAGTTGCCACAATTATTCTCACCATTCAACAAAAGGTACTCATTTTTATGCTTCCTCTGCTATTCTCCCTCCCTACATTTTACTGTAAAAACACCCGCCTTTCCCCCCATCAAAACACAGCCAAAGAGAAATTTATCAGTAGCAATTTGCACTTGACTGACTGTGATGCAATTATGTTGACTTTTAAGTATCTGCTTTGAAAGCATGTGCTTGGAGGACTACAATCCGGTTCCACTAACCAGAGAGATAAGAGCCATTTTCAGCAATGTGGTCAAATTAGTGCTGTATTATGTAGGCTGCCACATAATGCTAGGTGCTCCTCTCAGGCTAGGTTTAAGGTCACTCCTGCTAGCTTCAAATGCCTAAATAATAAATTAAGTCTTGCTGTGTAGCTTCTATGAAGGTGTGTAATTAAAGCACCACACTGTTATTAAGTGTCTTGCAAGCTATCAGCTAATGTTTGTTTCTATTATGAACACACACAGGGGTGGCTGTTAAACGGCCAGGAACATGTTTCCATAGTCCCAGAAACAACCAGAACAATACTCTCTTTCCTGCCCCCTGCAACAAATCTTTTCAACTGAAAACACACTTATTTGACGACGGATTAAAGACAACAATGTTGTAAGGGCAGATGGGGAGCAGGGGGTGGATCAGAGCAAGAAACTGTTCTGTTTCCCAATTGCATTGATAGGGCACCTTTTAAAGAGAGTTCCCAAATTCAGTAAGATATCATTAGGGCTGCCATACACCTGGAATTTCCAGGACATGGCCAGGATTTGTCTGCCAAAAATGGCATCTAGGAGATGTGTGTGTGTGTGTGTGTGTGTATTTATATACCTCCCTATACCCGGAGGTCTCAGGGCAGTTTACAGAACAAGATCAACATAAAAACCACAATATATATAATCAAAAGAAAAACAACAACCCAATGCCCCCCCCACCAAGAGCCACATTTTAAAAGGGCATAGGATGTCAATCAGATCAACCAAAGGCCTGGTAGAAAAGAAACATTTTTGCCTGGCGCCTAAAGGTGTATCATCAAAGTGCCAAGCAAACTTCTCTGGGGAGAGCATTTCACAGATGGGGAGCCACTGCAGAGAAGGCCTGTTCTTGTGTTGCCAGCCTCCGGACCTCTCAAAGAGAAGGCACATGAAGAAGGGCCTCAGAAGATGATCTCAGGGTCTGGGCAGGTTCATATGGAAAGAGGCAGTCCTTGAAGTATTGTGATCCTGAGCCGATTAAGGCTTTATAGGTCAAAACCAGCACTTTGAATTGGGCCCGGAAACTAACTGGTAGCCGGTGCTGTCGGACCAGGATTGGTATAATAAACTCAAACCATCTGGCTGCTGAATTCTGCACTAGCTGAAGTTTATGAACCATCTTCAGAGGCAGCCCTACATACAACGCACTGCAGTAATCTCACCTTGAGGTTACCAGAGCATAGACAACAGTAGTTAGGCTATCCCTGTCCAGATAGGGGCATAGGTTGGCCACCAGCCGAAGCTGATGGAAGGCACCCTGTGCCACCTGAGCCACAAGCGACAGCAAAGGATCCAGGAGTACCCCCAAGCTACGAACCTGCTCTTTCAGGGGAACTGTAACCCCATCATTTTGAAACCTGTTAAAATGTCCATGAAAACCCGGGCGTATGGCAGCTCATATCGGAAGCAAAAAAACTTTATTTTTTAATGGAGATTTTCTGTCCGGATTTTCACTTCTTGAAATATGGCAACGCTAATATCATGGCCCTAGACTTTCTTCATTTCAGACCTTGGAATAGACCTAGTATTTGGCTCTTGTTCTGCTTTTAGAAAAAGCCATCTAACTGTACCTGCGCTTCAAACCTCTGCATGAAGCAAAACAAATAAACAAAAACCCTTGCATCTGAACTTAGCTCTGATTGTCCAGGAAAAGGGACATTAATTGAAAAAGGACCAAATATGTGAGGCTCCTTTAGTTTAGAGGAAAATACTGATACTGAGAAGAGGCATGATGGACCAGTATAATATTAAAGGTAAAGGTACCCCTGCCCGTACGGGCCAGTCTTGCCAGACTCTAGGGTTGTGCGCCCATCTCACTCTATAGGCCGTGGGCCAGCGCTGTCCGGAGACACTTCCGGGTCACGTGGCCAGCGTGACATCGCTGCTCTGGCGAGCCAGAGCCGCACACGGAAACGCCGTTTACCTTCCCGCTTGTAAGCGGTCCCTATTTATCTACTTGCACCCGGGGGTGCTTTCGAACTGCTAGGTTGGCAGGCGCTGGGACCGAGCGACGGGAGCGCACCCCGCCGCGGGGATTCGAACCGCCGACCTTTCGATCGGCAAGCCCTAGGCGCTGAGGCTTTTACCCACAGCGCCACCCGCGTCCCAGTATAATATTATGAATGGTAAAAAGCAAGGATCCTGTGGCCCTCCAGATTTTGGGAGCTGCAACTCTCACCGCTGCTCCCCATCAACTAGCTTGGCTTGGGGTGATAGGAGAGCCACAGGTTCCACATCACTGGCATAAAGAGAGTTAGTGAAGACAAACATTCCTATGATAAGACTTGGAACTCTGGTAAGACTAGAGATCATCCACAACAGCAGATTAACAACAGGCAAAAAGGAAGTAATTTTCAAAGCATAATTATCTTGAGAAATTTATTAACACAGGATTTGGCAACTGTCACAATTTTATAAACCTTTAAAAGCAATTAGACAAATTAATAGATAGATTTCTATTATTAGTGGCAATTAGCCATGATAGCTAAATAGAGCTTTGTGAGCACTGGCAGCATGCCTCTGATTCATGGATGCTGAAAGCAAATAACAGAAGATGGCTTACATGCTGCCCACATCCCACCCTACATCCCTTGTTTGTGCATTTCTGAAAGGCCTCCAGCTCCCCACTGCTGGAATTCAATAATGTGGATTAGATGGACTTGCTCCAGCAAGGTGATTCTAATAAAGTATTTTCAATTCACATGATCACAGCAAAAACAGAGGCATTTGGATGTTAATTTGTAGCATTTCTCTTACCTGTGACTGTGGATGAGGGCATTGAAAGCCAAACCATCACACCAGCTACTGGTGAAATTAACAACATTGACCTGCGGATAATTCTGAGTTGATTGACGGACCCAGCTCAGCAAGATCTTTTCACTGTTTGTCTGTTGCAGTCCAGCCATGATGTTTTTCATTACATCTTTGACCTGTGTTGGAAGACAGAATTTTTATCAGTAGCCAAGTTTATTTATCAAAGGCAACTCCCCCGCCCCCGTCAAACTTGAGTTTCTTTTACTTAACTCTTAAGTACTTGAATACTCAGCACAGTGATCCGAAACATAAAAAAAACACACGGAAGGATACTGAAGAAGCACTGGTTGTATAGAAATGAAAGGGGTTTTTTTTAATAAAAAGAAGAAAGGATCATTGCTCTTCCTACTGTCATTTTCTCCTTTCTTTAAATATGAAAGAGGATAAGCACGGTGCACTGTGACTTTTGCACTATTAGCAACATTTATTTTTAATTTGCAGTCAGGGCCGGATTTAGGTTTGATGAGGCCCTAAGCTACTGAAGGTAATGGGGCCTTTTATACGTCCAGCTGTCCTTTGTCAACAACAAACTGTTGCTATTTTTGTGTGTGTTGAATATATGCTATATGGTAATTTATGGACCTAATAGGTTTCTAAAGCCGTTTGCACATAAGAAAAATATGTATTTTATCAAAGTAATTGTTGAACTGAAATACAATTAAGAAGTACCTTAATAGTAACTTTATAATGGGATCAAAATAAATAAGTTATGTGTTACATGAAATCAATCAGTAGGCATAAGACTCATATCCTTAGTCTGTGCTGCGCAATCACCAGTCTACAAGCACTCTTTAATATTAGATAGCAGGTACAACAGCTTGACCTACATTCAACTGTGCTGCATTGCAGTCTGCAGCTGCATGCTACATGTTGCCATGCAACCAGTCCATGCAGAATGTAGGCACCCTATATATAGAAATGAGCAAACCAGAGATATTTTAGGGAGCAGGCTAGCAGGCGGGGCCCATTACTTACATCATAGGAGCCTACACAACACAAAACACTGTTGCTGTATGTAGGTTTGATTTTATTTGTTTTTAATCTTATATTTTGGAAGTGTACATCCAGGTTTTTTCCCTTTAATTTTTTTGGGGGCCCCCAACAGAGTGGGGCCCTAAGCTATAGCTTGTTTAGCTTATATGTAAATCCGGCACTGTTTGCAGTACCCAAAGAGGTCAAGAATTTCCACTGAAAATTTGCTGAACTGTGCCATCATGAAAGAAAACAAACAGAGCCTACACATTTAATGTAAGTCACTGAAATCAAACCCTCGGAAGAGATGCCATTCCAGAGATGGGTTGCCACCAGAGAGAAGGCTCTATCCCACACTACTGCCCCCTGTACTCTGGGTTGTAGCTCAGAGGTTGAACATCTGCTTTACATTCAGAAGTTCAAAAGCTCAATTACTGGCATCTCCAGGTAGGAGCTGTGGGAGACTCTTGCCTGAAACTGTAGAGAGCTGCTGCCAGTCAGTTTAGACAATACTGAGCTAAATGGACCAATAGTCTGACTCAGTATAAGGCAGCTTCCTCCTTCACCTGGTGATGGGGCGATGAGAAGGGCTGTTTTGGGTTGTCTTAATGCAGGGAGCAGTCAACATGGAGAGGGGCGTTCCTTCTTACATTTGGGCTCAAATTGTTTAGAGCTTTATACATCAGTACACTGAACTGGACTTAGAAATGTATTTTGCAGTATTCTGAATATTAAATTGCCTGGTATTGCAATGAAATGACTGCCTAATGCTTTGAAAGGACACTGACCTCCTTGACTTTTCTCAAATACCCAACCTGGACACTAAAATTAAGTAGAGAAACAGTTTCCTTGTTTCCTCTCTCTATCACTCATTGAAACATTAGGATGGGTTCAAAACTGAACACCACCTGAAAGACACAAAGTAGATATACCCCTTGATTATTAGGGATATATCCAAAAAATGTTCTGTGAATGACTGACTCACCTGCCAGTGGAGAATTATACTCCAGATCAATCCAAGAGTCAGTTTATGATTGCCATCCACAATATCTGTGCTGCCGATATTCACCAGATCTACCTGTCAGAGCAAAGTAGGCAAAGCAAACTTAGATAAAATTATGTATAAAATGCAAAAACAATGAACATTAAAATAGAAGTTAAATGAGTTTACATTCCCAGAGTAATGGGCAAAAGAAACAGCTGCTGAATAAAACATAAGCAAACCTGTTAAAACCTACGGATTTGATAAATACATCAAATTAGGGCTATGTGGTTTTGTTTGCATATTTTCTACTATTTAGCTTTTAGTGGCAAGTAAACAATCCAGAGCATATTTCATAACCTGATCAAATAATTATCTGTCATAAAACAAATAGTACCAGGTATTTTAGGAAATTGCAGATAGCAAGGATGCAATTATTATATCACAAAATAAACATATGTTGCAATAATTAAAAACAAAAAGTAATGCATGTGACAACAGAAAATAATATTTATGGGAACCCAGCCACTTCATCAGCAATTAACATAGGCTCATTTCTTTCTCTGCCTAGTAAAGTTTTCTTAGATGCTTCCCATTCAGCTTTCAAATACGAGAAGCTAACACAGACATACCTGTACTAGACTGAATCAACTATCCAAAGTAACCAACTTGGTTTCATTTGTCATTCCTTTTATAAGGAAAAAGCCACTTCCGAGCTAGAGAGGAGGTGTGGTTGCGAGCTTCACGCCCCTCCCCACACTCATGGGGGCTGGCTTCAGCCCCCGCGATGCCAGGGAATCCTCGGACGCGTCATCCCCAGGCCAGACAATCGGCTGGCCCGGGGGGCGTGGCCTCGCTGTACTTAGGTCTGGCGCAGCCGAGGGTCTCCCTCTTTCCCCGCGCTGCAGCCAGCTGACCAGGTTTTTCCAACCCTCCCACCCGTTAGGCTAGGCTCTCTGATGTTGCTATGAACTTCGGTTGGTCGCCGTCAAGGGGCCTGGTAGGATTTTTTCCATTTGGCAGATTGGCACCAGCCACTTGCTTTTCACCTACCTTGTAGCAATCTGTCACAACTCCTCGGTATTGGCGGTTAGGCATTGGTAGGGATATTGTTCTATTGTTATGCAAATGAAGGGGGAAGGAAGCGCCATCACCTTCCCCCAAATCAAAGGGTAGTCCGGTAAAGGATTCCAGGGGGCGTGGCCTTGTCCTAAGCCTATGGAGGTGTGGGCCCACGGCACGCCCCCGCGCGGTAACCCCGGGGGAGCTCCTAGTTGACGTGCATCAGCAGGACTCCCTCTACTGGTGGTTAACCCTCACTGGTTTTCAAGCAAGCAGGCTGAAGCCGGTTGTTAGGTCCAATGCCTAAGCCAATACCGCTCAATTCCTGTAATCAATAAAGTTGTGGACTAATTTGATCCATTAACTTGAATTCTCGTGTCTCGTGTCTTTATTTCTGAGGGGGGAGGCAGGAACTCGCCACGCAATTCATTCCCAGGTCCAAGACTGCACACATTTCAGGTGAATTATAGGTAGCCAATAGAAATAAACCAACCATAAATGACTAAATCTAGCTATTGATCTATACTGCTATACTGCTAAGAGTACCCCTTAGAATGGGATTTAAATCACTGAATTATTTGCATATTCATTCAGTAGAACTTTCCAATTCCCTAGAACAAGACAGCAAGAGAGGGGTATTACTAGTAGTTTTTATTCTGGAGATTAATTCTTATATGTTCTTATATGTTCTGGAGATTAACTCTTATAAAATTATTTCATCTGAGAGGGAGAACACATTCTATGGTTTTTAGAGGCACTGCACGTTTACAGATGGAAAGCAAGGCTTAGGAGATAATGAGTTGGAACCAGACTTGCTCCTGCATGAACCTCCTTCCATTTCCCACCTGAAACTGAATTTCAATAGAGCCTTACCGCCAGAGGAAGGCAGCAAGGCAGCAATTTTAACCGATTCTTCCTTCCCTCTGCAATTCCCACCCACCATGCTATCAACCATGTTGTTTTCAAGGCTCTTCCACCACCAGAGAAGCTTCTCAAGAGGCACAAGTGGCTGCAGGAGGAAAGAAGATTTGTCACTTCCAGCACCAGCAAAACACATTTGAACGCAAGTCAGGATCCAACCAAGCGGCTTCTTCAAGGCTATTTATTGAAATAATGCCTGATGTGGGATAAGCACTCTGATCTCCTGCATCCCATGAGATTATACTGGATCTTATTTATTGTAAAGCATACTCCAGAAGCAAATTTTCATATCTGTTTATTGAGTTCTCCTCAACTCTATGTGTGTTATGAACCCATGTAAATATTTACTTACATTGTTTTTCTGAAGGACTTGTAGTGCTTTGTTGACGTTGTTCAAGGCATGAACTCTTGTGGAACCCCTTTCTTTACCCTGTGAATATGCATAGTGATTATTAACCACGAGAAATAAGGAAATACTATATATTAAAATTAAAAATAATGTCTCACAGACACAAACAGCACAGAAGAGCCTAAAATACCAAAGAATGTCAATCCTTACTTCAGTAATATATTTTTCTATGGCATTTTACAATGGCCCTACTGAATGAGGGCATCAGTGAGACAAATTCAGATTGTTTTAATTATAACAGGTATTCTTTTCCATAGGCCAGTTGAGGACTGCTACCAGGGAATAGCATTAAACATACATGATATTCTTCAAGTATATATTTGAAGTTTGCCATACTAACAATATATGAGCATTCTTATGTGAAAAAATTGAACACAATAAAAAGGGGCGGTGGCTGAAAGAAAAGAGAGTGATGGATTACTAATAGTCCCAGTTAACCCTTTTATTGTAGACTCTGTCACAGTGCTAGTAATTTCACATTCATGACAAGATTTAAAATGTCAGGAGCTGTGACACTGCATAAAATATATATTTCTACAACTTTTATTATAAGATCTAGTTTTGAAATTTGGAGTTATAACCTTCAGCTACTATCCCTGCTTCATCTTTGATCTGAAATGGGGAAGAATGCCTTGCATCATTTTAATTGAAGGAGGCCTACAGTTAATGGCAATTATATTTTGAATACTAGTAACATTCTTGCCTAGCAAAACAAAACTTTTTTGAAGTTTTCTGTGGGAAGCATGCAAGCTTCCCACTATCTGTTCTCGGTCTGCTCAGGTAAAAAGAAGCAACTAGATTAAAAAAGAAGTTATGTATAAAGATGCAGTGGACCATGCTGACAACTAACCTATTGATTTATAGATGTATACACCACACAACAAATGACCCTATCCAAGCAAGTGCTTGTGTGAGGATGTTTGGTTTGAGCTTTCCTTCTGGGGGATTTCCCCCCAACCCTCTGGGGCAGATTTAGACGGGGTGCAGGGTAAGTGCAGAGAGAGGAGCGATGTTCTACTGTGCAAGCAGAAAGCATTGCACCAGCAGAGGCTCAATGCATGTAGGCAGTGAATTTGACACATTCATAAAACAGCATGAAATACTTCGTCAACTTCTGGACAGTGAAACACAACAACCAATGACTGAGCTGTACATCAGAAAAGGTCTACGTAAGCCGAAGAGTCTAAAAGAAAGTACTGATGGTGCTTGCTTAATAATATTAACAGGCAAGGAGCTCCGCAGCTTAAACACAGCACAGTAACTGTTATATGTCTTGTAGAAGCAAAGCAAACATCATGTGGCACCCTTAAAAGTGTCTCTCACGCCTATAATAGTGGTAATAGCTTCTAACTATTGCTGTTGTGCCCCAGAGTGGCTAGGGCAACCCAGTCAGATGGGCAAGGTACAAATATCATCCTCATCCTCATGCATTTATGTGTACAAATTGAATTACTAAGGAGGTAGAGAAATAGTTTGGAGACAGTCTAAGGCTTGAATTCAAAGCTGTGGTTCTTCCTAAGTGCTCCTTATTCAAATTTCTCCCCAGATCTTTGAGGGCTCAGTAATTTGAGGTTGTTTCTGAACTGCATCTGATATATTCAGAAACTTCCAGTACCCTATTTTGTTTCAAAACTATTTGCATGAACAAGCACAGCTTGTTGCTGCTTTTGGTTAATTCACCATCATCCCCTCCCATTTTTGTCTGGGTATTTGACTAGCAAGGTCTGGTGGGGGGAGGGCAAATAAGAGTTGCTGTTTTAAGAAACTGTTCCCCACAAAACCCCAAATTCACTACTTTCTATTGTACACAATACAGTCATACTACTTTATTAGGTGCTCAGCCTAACATGTTCCAGTCCTATGGTTCAATTCACGTTCTTATAATCAGTAAAAATTCAAAGTGCTTCATAAAGAGGAAATGGGATTTTCAAGGACCAGAGATCCATGAATATTAATTTCACAATATAATTCATGCACTCTAAAAGTCAAATCCAGTTACAACCATAGTGGGTATATCATAAATATGATTGCTGGACTACTTCTGGCTGAAAACATGTATACATACAAGCTTTTGGCCCGTAAGACCTTCCAGGAGCTCCAGGAGCCTTCGTCCATCTTGAAAATCATTGAAGAGATCTTCTATAGGGTATGTACCAAACTACAATAAAATAGAGTAAAGGTTGTTTTATAATGGAGCATTGTGAATTGCATGCTAAGTTTCTTAATGTCCTATTTGTTGGTCAGAGGAAAAGCAAAAAAGATAACCCTTTACAATCTAGGCATTCTTCTTAATTTGAAGATTCTTTTTTAATGAAATGCTTTATTTTGTTACTAAGAGTTTGTACAATCCAGAAAGCGGAGTCAGTTAATTTGAATGGGGTTGGGTACAGTAAAAGCAGGAAGACTATATAGGCAATAACATTTATGTCCCACTCTTTAGCCAATGAATTTGGAGTGGCTTGCTGAGGGCTCCCAGGCCTCCCATCCACCTCAGCAGTTGTACTTTATGTCTCTTCTGACCCTTCTCTAGCCGAGAACTTTAATCTGTAATGATTACAGTAGTAAAGTCATGTTTTCAGCAGTGTCTTGGCTAGCTCTGAATATATCCTAATGGGGCCAGTTCCAGAGGAGACAAGGCCCAATACAAGGTCTTGCTTCCATTGTCTCTTTCACTGTGGACATGTGCCGCAGGCCCCAGATATATGTGTGCATGCGTGCGTTTTTCTTCAATAAAAAATAATAATCAAGTAGCAGCTATGAGGAAAAGAAGGTGGTTGCTGCAAACCAAACTCAGAGGTCACAGTGAATAGTAGAGAACAGGGAAGGCCTCAGCCATTTCTCTACTGAAATTAGGCACTCCTGAAGTAGCATGTCTGTAACAAAAAACTGCTTTCATAGTTTTGCAACATGCACATGTATAAAATATAATAAAGCTGTAAAAGTAGTCTTCTTTCCTTCTTCCATTAAGACGTCTTATTTTTTAAAAAAATAAAATGTATAATTAAAATTGATCCTAGACAAAACTACACAATAATATGGGAGGTTAACTACGGAGAGGAGATAAAAACACAGCATGGAAGTATCTTCAGCAAGACATTTTAATTACAAGTGTGTTACAAGTAAATCTTTAAAGAAATGATTTTGAGGAGATTGAAAGGCAACCTTCTATTAATCATCAACTAAATATTACATAAGGTTCCCTATGCTGCTGCCACACAGTCTAACCTGAAGAAGAGCATGCCATTTGTCTGGCAGGGAGGTAATTAAGTCGCCTTTCTGAAACGGATTGAATGTCTTCAGTGGATCGACATTGCAATAAGTCTTTAGAAACAAAGGATTTGAAGAGACGGTAAAGAAATATGTTGCATTTCCAAGGTCACTGGAAAAGTGTGCATTAAGAAGTGAGAAGCTTTTGGAAGAACAAACTAATATATTGAAATGCCATTTTGAACTCCTGATGCGTGCAATAACAATATCACCTTTATTTGCAATTGCCTTCAAAAAGATAGACAGAATTATATTTTTCATTCTGTACTTGGTAAAATAAATATTCAGTTTAATTTGCCGTTTAAAATGTTGGTTAAATAATATAGATGGCACTTTAAAATCGGCTATAACAGCAATGATATTTTATGCTTCCATATGAAAGTTTCTGAAACCTCCCTACAGTCTGCACCCCTCCCAGTCTGGTTGTGATTTTCTTTGATTTTCTACCTTAATATGCTAGGTAGGGTGATGATGGTTCAGGAGAGGGCACTGCAGAGAAGCCCTTAGGACCTTGCCATATCCTAATGATCTCAAGAACAACCCACCAGAGCTTAGAGCAGAGCTTTCCAAACTGTGTAATCATGTAATCATGACACTGTAGCGTCTTGGCTGCAGTGTGTAGGTGTGTTGCGCGAACGTTCCCCAAGCTCCTCCCGGGGCTGGAAAGTGGTTAGTTTAACCCCCAGTTTGCTAGTAAAACTGAATTACCACATTGCGAAATGATGCATGTCTAAAAAGTGTGCCACCAACATGAAAAGTTTGGAAAGCTCTGGCTTAGAGCCTTATTCAGCACAGAAGTATGTGTGTACATAAAGGAGCGTCTCCACCCCCATCGTTCAGCCTGGACACTGATCCAGCTCCGAGGGCCTTCTTGCAGTTCCCTTATTGCGAGAAGTGAAGTTACAGGGAACCAGACAGAGGGCCTTCTTGGTAGTTGCGTCCGCCCTGTGGAACATCCTCCCTTTAGATGTCAAAGAAATAGACATACGTATCTGACTTTTAGAAGACATCTGAAGGCAGCCCTGTACGAAGAAGTTTGTAATGTTTGAGGTTTTTTGTGCTTTAATATTTTGTTGGAAGCCACCCAGAGTGGCTGGGGCAACCCAGTTAGATGGGCAGCATACAAATAATAAAATTGTTGTTACTTTGTTTCAGAGAGCTCCAAACTATGCTCCAAAAGTGAATTGGCATAATGGAATTATTTGTGTTGGTTCTGCCATCATAAATAATGCCAGAGATGAACTCAAACGGGTCCAACAAATTTGGTTCTAAATTTAGAAAACTACCTCCTACTGAGTCAGACCAGTGATCTACTCCTCCACATCTTTCCCAGCCTTGCGCTAGAAATCCTTTACCTAGTGGTTCCAGGGATTGAACCTGGAAGCTTTCAAATGCAAAGCCTACTATATCTCCTCCTCCAGCTTTCTTTTTGTAGCATGTTTTCAGCCTTGAATATAACATGACTTGGATAGTGGAAGTAGGAAACAATACCAAATCAGACTAAGACAGACAGAGAAAGATTTAATGGTAAGGTAAGAGAAGACTCAAATGAAGGAAGAAATTGATGTGTGAAACACACTTACAAAGAACCTCAAATATATCAAGGAAAGCCTTTGAAATAAGTTCCTCTCTCCTGGCTCAAGCTCCTTGATTTAAAAGCGAACACAGGGGCTTCAGTATCCCACTGCAATAATGTAAACACTGCTGTGTAATACCATCTCCTTTCTACTGAATAAAGGTCAAATCACAGACACTTTTGTTGCTTTCACTGATGTGGCTGGTGGCTGCGATTACTAATCTTTACATGATAGAGGGGGTGGGTGGGAATTACCAAAAGGCCTTAAAAAGAAGAAAAAGGCAGCTGAAAAGATGCAACAAACAGGGGAGATAAGATGTCAGATAGAGATTAAATTAAACCTTTCGCTCTTCTGCAGATTGAAGGAAATGTGAACTCTACCTAGAGAACCCAAAGGAAAATGTTTTAATTCACAAAGGAACTTGCCAATTCCCCACAAGGCAATAAATATGGCTTTTCCTAGCATTTCTAAGGTCAGGTCACACATAGCTGCATAAAGTTAAAACCACTTGTTATTGCAAAAATTTTGGATTGAAAGCCATCTAAAAAAAGGAAGATGTTCATATATAATGATAAGCCATAGTTCTTCGCTTAATAAATCATACCGTGTAAACAAACCATGGAGGGGATAGCTTAATGTTACATCCAAACGCAAGATCATAGTTTGTTTTGCCCTAACTTCACACTTGCTAGCTAGTTTTAAACCATGGTTTGTTGTTTGTTTATGGATTAGGGAGCAGAAAATCATGATCATGGATTTGGACATCACACTAAACGATCATTTGTTTACCTGCTAACACCAGAGGAGCAGCAAAGTAGGAATAATGGGGCAAATTATGGTTTATTAAGACTTAGCTTACTGTCACATGCAAATATTCAGATGCCTTCCTTCTTTCAAGTCTTTAATTCTCTTTCTCTGAATCTCCTCAGCGTTCCATCACTTAACTCAAAGAGAACTATTTAGGTCCCTACTGAAACTCCTACTTACAAAAAAGGGCTGTGCTTTGGACATCCAGCAGGAAGCTACACTTTACAAGGTTACAGACAGTTTTTTATCAGTTTTTATCGTGTCCATGGTAGAATCATAATAATAAAAACCCCCCGAAAGTGACAGCATGCCTTACATCTCTGGTACACACAAGCTCTGGAAGTAATTAACTTTCCTCCATTTTTGAGGACGCCTTCACACAGCCATTTTCCCATGGCACTATTCTATATTGAAGTGGTGCATGTGTGTGAGACAACACCACAACCATGTGAGTGAAGCCCACAGCATGGGTCTTCCTCATCTGGTTGCTATTCTTCCTTCCCAGTGGGATGTCAGACAGATGGGAAAGTCCCAGGTATTTACATAGATATGGGAGCTCATTCCATAGGCATGGAGCTACCATCTACCACAAACCACACCGGGTGTTGAAACCATCAAAAGCATCTCAATGCAGGTGATGGGTAAAATTACAACACAGAAGGTATCAGTGAGATGTTACCTTCCTCTCTCTGCACTTCTATCATGTTGAGAGCTTAGCTAGAGGGTGTGTGTATGTGAATTTAAAAAGGTTGATAGACTTTCAGCTAATCAAGCAGGCATTTTCATTAGGGGTTCATTGAAATTCATGCCTAGAACTTAAGAAGAACATTACATTATGTTGAGCTGAACAGAGGTTTTCAGTCAGATGTAATAAAAAGGAGATTGCAGAGATGTCTGTGGTATATGCTTTTACCATATTACATTTATTACTTTTACCATATGATAATTTTTTTCTAATGGGGCAGGAATTGTTCACTACCACTGTCAAATAAATAGTGTTCTATTGAATAATTTAAAGGTTTTTTTTTTACTGTACATAAGAGAATTGGAAAGTTGCTGACATAATATATATTTCAGAAGACCCTTTACAGAAAGCTAGATTGCGATATAAATGCATTTTCTAAGTGTTTCTACTTTCCAGAAGTAACAGGGGCAAATAGCTAGTTCCAGAAAGTCACACTTACAATTTCGTCTACAATATTTTCAAAAAGCAGCAGTTTATTTGTAACATATACTACGAGAGAGATGACTTTGTTTTCCTGTATAAGCTCTTTTGACTTGAGTAACACTGTGAATAAATATTAATTTGCTGAAGATAGGACTTCTGGATTCCTTACCCTGACCATTAAGTCCAGTTGTGACCGACTCTGAGGTTGCAGCGCTCATCTCGCTTTATTGGCCGAGGGAGCCGACGTACAGCTTCCGGGTCATGTGGCCAGCATGACTAAGCTGCTTCTGGAGAACCAGAGCAGCGCACGGAAACGCCGTTTACCTTCCCGCCGGAGCG